AACTGAGTTTCATTAGGTGATCCGATGGGGTGAATGAAATTAATGAGTGCGGCATAGAGATTGCCCCTGACGAGCTCAAGATGGTTGTTGTTTAAAATTCCTTGAAGAACATTTCGCAGGATGTTGTACAGTCGCTCTGCTGGCAGGGAGCCCGATTCGGTGTCACCTCCCGCAGACTGAAGGATGATATGTTGTTGTCGGTCTTCGCGTAGTTTGGTTATCAGGGAGAGAACCGTTTCAGAAAGCAAGACGGCTGTCGATACTTCGATATTGAGTGAGCGGATCGCAGCAGGGAGGACATGCAGCAAATCGAAGAGCATGTTCTCTCTATGGTCATGAGGCAATCGATCAAAGCACTTCGTCAGAGCCAGGTCAAGCAATCGTCTCCAGGCTTCAAACCCGCTGACGAGGGAATGTGATATCTTCCTGCGATGGTTCTCCACAGCGCAACTTTCCAAGATGTATGTCGTTTCCCTAGACAGCTGATCACCATGAGCAGCAGTGACAATGCTGCCTTGAGCATGTAGTGCACGCTTTGCAGCCGCCAATAGTTGTAGCAGAGCGATCCGGTCTACGATCTCACACCCAGCTGCGTCTTTTCGAACGCATGCTTGAAGATTAAATTGCGCCAAGAATTGAAGGGTGACAGGCTCGACAGAGAGGCTGTCAGACTACTCGAACGTCAGAGACTGAAAAAAATCAATGATGCGCATCTGTGACTGCCCAACCTCATGGAAGGTGGGGAAGTCATATTCCTCCTCGTATTCGAAATCTGTACCAAACAGTATTTCCAAGATTTCCAAAACTCCCTTGAGGTGGTTTCTGCTCGTCAAGACATGTAGCTCCAGGGCCACCAGGTCGAATATGAAGGAACGCAGGCGAATGAACGAGCTCAATGAGGTCACTGTAGTAATGATTCTCGACCCGTCACCATAGATGGCCTGTATAGGAGGCTCTTGTAGCGTCAAAGTCGCTTGTGAAGGTACACGCGCTAATTGCCGGGCAAAGAAGTCTTCTCGCGTACGCAGACATCGCATGGTGGACGTTGATGTTCGAGGGTGGACACACAGCTGATAGACGACGTGGTAACAACGCTCCGCCAACGCAGGGAGACTCTTGAATAAGGGTTCAACCTGAGCGCTTTCTTGATCCCGTTCTTTCCGCTTAGCCTTCGACCTAGGAACCCCAGCATTGACAAGATCAAGTAAAACATGGATGCTCGTCCGCTGCGCCCCAAGAGCATGTGGGTCTTGAATCTGATACTCGCCATTTACGCTGCCAAAGAGCAGGAAGTGAGCAATATTCGGGTATGGTCGATGGGATGCTGTGTCTTGGATTAACAAGTCAAGGGCTGCAAGTCTGGTAGCTTGTTTGAGTGCGTCCGAGATTTCACTGTTATCAGGAGCTCCAGCACCGGTGATTTGTTCAGTAATTGCTTCAGCCTCCAAGACGTCTTCCATCGACTCGCTACCAATCACATCCATGAAGCCTCCAAGTATCCTATCTGAATCGCCGCTCCTTTCAACAAGGGCTACCAAGTTGGAGAAGAATGTGGAAGTCGAGAGGATAGTGATGATTTTAATGGACAGCAGAACGACTTCCGAGTATGTAGCGAATGTCATATAGGCAGCCAGGGCGGGGGCATATTGCGGCCCAAAAGAAAGTGCTTGATCGAAACGAGTGAAAGATGACCGAGAATTAACTTGGCCAACAAAAGTGGCGCTGTTGTTGAAGTCAGACAAAAGAGGTATTAGAACATCTAGGAAAATGTCTTGAATCTCCAGGACGCGGTGAACAATCCTCAGCACTCGGATCATAGTTGTCAGGAAGAAAGGTTCTTCGTTGGGAACGTCTTTCTCAAAGCCACCAATGCCCTCGATTATGTAGGTCAGAAGGCTACTTTGGAGGGGCGAGTTGGTCAAGAGGCGTTTCATAATGTCATAACCAGGATGAATGAGCAAGGGTACAAGTGATTCTCCTTTAATAGGAACATCTTCAGGAGCAGTTACCAACGACTCAAGGTTGAAACTTGCAAGCGCTCTTTCAATGTAGCATAAACAGAGGTCATTCGTCTTCCACCTGTCAGAAGGCTGGGCGTATTCGCGGTTCGGAATATTGGCGAAGACTGTGTCGATGACAAAAGAAGTAAAGGGTCCAAGGCCTGGGATGCGGTACGGTTGTCCCAGCGATTCCGGGATTGTATTAGAGGGCTCCAAGCCTGCCGCCCGATCGCTCAACGGCATGCGCTTGGATGTGTGAATGGCAGTGCTGAGAAGTTTGAGGAAAGGGATAGTGGCAGGGTATAACCTATGCACAGACTCGATTTGTTCAAGCTCAAGCTCCACTCCTTTGCTGGTTGCCAGCGCCATGCTAAATCCACTAGTTGAACCAGCTCTGACGTTGATGACTTCAAGACGCTCCATTAATGTCCAAACTGCCTTGCAGATTTCAACGCCGGGGGCACCGGCGCCAGGCTCACAGAATGCACTGAGGGTCTCAAACAAAGCGCCCTTGAGTTCCAGAGGGATGCCAAGAGGAATAAGCGAGATTAACGTTGGAATGGCACGGAAATGAGCATGTCCGGATATCGCTGTTCGCACGGCAACCGAGTATGTCACTACCGTCGATAGAAGCCGGAGGAATGACTGGGAGAGAAGCACATCCTTGGGACCAATCGTGACCTGTTGAGCAGCCGGCGGAGGGGCGGCGTAGTTTTGCAACGAGCCGAAGGACTGAGAGATTCCAAGGGGCTGTGGTTGAGCTTGTCCTCGTGGATTTGAAGCACTAGCTGCCCAAGATTCGAGAAGAGAAAAAATAACAGTCCATGAAACAGATGGCCCTGTAGACGAAGATGACCCCATTCTCCCTGGGAGGATCTCCC